TACGATTCAATGTAAATCTCGCAAAGAATAAACGATAGATGTGTTGATCCAACGTCCTAAGTTCTCTTCGTGCGGTATCGATCTCGTTTCTGCCGCATTGCATTCCTATTCAAGAGAAGATAGTCAAGAGAGAAGATGACGTCATTCTGCCTACGATCTACGAACTTTGGTATGTCGAGTATACATAAGCTGAACTAGATTACACGAGCTATGCTCGATACATCCGGGCTATTTATTACAAAAATGTAATATTATAGGTAAAGTCGTTTTATTAATAAGTATATTATTCAATATTGATACACTGAAAAAAATTTCTGATTGAAAATGGGGGAATCAGAATTTTCTGGTTAAATTTATTAGAATTCTAATTGAGATAATCGGAATTCTGATTAATTATATATTTCTGGTAAAATTTACCAGAATAATTATATTAATCAGAATTCTAGTTATCTCAATTAGAATTCTAGCAGATTTAACCAGAATATTCTGATTCGTCCATTTTCCATCAGAATTACTATTTAATTCAACCAGACCATTTTTTTCAGTGTATAAATAAAATGCGTCACTAATTAAAAATAATTTAGTATTAATTAGTCATACTATCAACGTTCAAGAATAGTATGTAAAATTCGCATGCATATCAATGAGACATTATTGTCGCAGAGTGTGTAATGTTATTCTCTTTTAGTCGAAGTCTAAAATTTACCTATCATTTTCCGCTTCCTCGACTCGCCAAGGAGAGATTATATCCAAGCCAAGCCAAGCCAAGCCAAGCCAGACTATCAAGTTTTCCGCCGAGAGGAAAGATAAATAAGACAGATCCTTCTTATTCTTTCTCTTGATTGCGGCATAAGCAAACTTCTTTAAACTTTCGATTCGAAGAAAAAGCGTAGTAAAAGCGAAGAAGCGAGAGCGGGTTGAATTTGTGCGGAGAATGTCATCAAAAGTTCACAGAGAATCAGAGAAAGAAAAAGAAAGGGGCGGATTGAAACAGCATTGCAATTTCCATTTTAAAACCTTGTAAATCCTGAACATTAAGAATCAATCACATGATATTTTAAAGAATTAATAAAGTCAAGTCTTGATGATAAAATATTTAAAATATGTACTATGCGGAAAGATCTATTTTACTGAAGATCTGAAGATCAGACTGCTAGATACAGATCTGAAAATTGTATTGAAAGTATCAACTTGAAATCTATTAAAATAATTACGTAGAAATCTCAAACATGATGAGCAATGCTGTAAACAATTTTGACATTCTAGCAATCAGTTTAAACATTTCATAAGTATTTTGATGGTTCAACAAATTGTTTTTAAACAAAATTTTGTAATACTTCGGCATAACCATTCTTCTGTACAAAATGTGTGTTATTCAAATAAAAACTGTTGCTGCTTCTACAGAAAATTGCTAAATACTGAGAATTAAGAAGTTATTACATTGATTACTTTTTCTCCTTTGTTAGTACTGATATATCTATTTCTTCCTGTTGTTTTTATAATTTTTAAAATTTAATTAATACATTGAAAAAATTCATTCCATTGTTATCTTTTCGCATTCCATTAACCTTAATATTTTATAATTTTGCAAATTAACTTGATTAATTTCTCATTTTAAAAGAAATATACACAAAGATAAAAAAATTGTGAAATCATTCAATGACTCGTAAAATTCTATTTTTTATCGCGTAGCAAAATCTGCTGCAATTCATCTTCTCATTTCATAGTTTCGGAACTGCTTTGTGAGAGGTCGCTACTTTAACTGCTTCGACCAGACAGAAAAGTATAGGTACCTGTATACTTCTTACGAACTAAAATATTGAAGTCGTCCAAGGTCAGGATGGTTGCCAAGACCGGAGCGACACGTACAAAGTTCATGAACAGTCGGCTTCTTGGAGGGGTAATCGAAGTTCGATTGTATCGCGAGACACGAGTCCAGCGACGAAGCTTGCCTTTCATGAAAGCTCTCCGTCGAAGCCGGCGAAGTTATCGGTAAATTTGGTGCATCGTGCGTCAAAATCGAGAGAGCCATTCACACCTAGTTGGAACGTAAAACCGAGACGGGAGTAAACTCGAAAACCAGGACCCCGAGTTGGCCAGGAACCGCTCGGGAAACAAGTTAAGTAGTAATGCTCGGCGACTGATCGAACGGGTTGCCTCGAGCGTCATTGGCGACAGCACTTTGGCCAAGTACTCGATGCAAGGACCGGGCAACTCTATTCGCGATAGGAGATGAACGGTCGAATAAGGTTGTGTCTTTCATTATTCTCGAGTATTAGCTGTTGGTAAATAAATTAAACGCCAAAATAGATCAGTATGTATATCTTGTAAATTAATGTTTGGGTACAAATTAAAAAATAATATAAATTAGAATTATAAGCGACCGAAATAATGTATCATTGAATTATAAAAATCAATAATTTATCGGTGAATAAGTAAGTTGTAGTTTAATCCTTCAATGCTACACTACGAGAACACTTGGATATGCCCAACCCAATTTGATTATTACTATTATTTATAACTTTCATAAAAACATATTGTAAATTTTTCTTCAATCGCGATATTAAAGGAATCCTGAAGTCTTTTTTATTTTAAAAAATAACATTTTATGATGTACTTCATATTCGTTTCACAGAATTAATATTCCTTTTCTTATCTGGATTATATAGTATTAATATTAAGTTAACAAAGTAATATATGTGAGACTTTTAAATCAAACTAAAATAGATTGCGCCGATTGCAAAACAGTAATAAATATTTCCAACACGTTTTCTCTATGCGCAATGTCGTGCGTTTTAATACACATTTCTTATTATTATTACACTCGAAAGTTTACAGCACAATGCGAAGTCGGAGAACAATGCCGAGTGCACAGGCAAGCAGACTCAAAAGAACGGCACCGCGTTTGCCTCATTGTCGCGGTGTCACGCGACTATTCTTGAATGAAGGAAGTTGCTGCTGCGGCTCTGATGGAGTTTCTTGCCCGCAATAGATTTTGTGGAAGGTCCTACGTATATCTTGGCTTGAAATGAATTTCTATTCGATCCGAAAGCGGAGATTACGCTTCAACATCGACGTAATTCACTGCTTGAAGCTGCTCCTCCCCTCTTTTGCAGAGTATATTTTTGCGTATTTCACCTTTAGACCTCGACAAGCATCGATTAACGAATAAAATTAACTTTAAACATTTATATGTATATTATTTTTAAAAAATACTAAAACCTAAGACTGGTTTTACACAAAAAAATGAATTCTTAAAGAAAGCATAAATGCTTTAATCCAAGAATATTTTATGCTTAGAATAATGCCAAGAATAAACAATTTTCGATTAATAATTCATATTATAATAAATTATTCGTAAAATAAAATAAATTTTATTCTTAATTCCAAACAAATTTTATTTCAATAAAAGAATAAAATTGCACTCGTGCAACATTAAATATGCTTATATTAGCATTATTTTTTCTTCAATGATACTTTGTAAACTTATTTCAATCCCCCCTCCCCCATCCCCAGTATGCTTTTTACTAATATCAAGATAACAGAAACCAATGCTGCAGTAAGTGACGATAACTTTGTAAATGAAGTGCCACGTTTATAAAGCATGCATCCTAATGTGCACGGGATACAAGTTTTTCCCAAGGAAAAACTGAATCAAACTTGGATTATATCCTCTACTAATATAACTCAATTTTTTTTAAAGGCAAGTGAAATGCTGAGACCATTCTACCAACCTTCGTTAGCCATATTGCAAATAAGGATGCAAACAGATGGTCAACCTCGTCACAATGACAGAGAACCGCTGGCTGCATATACAGATGAATCCGTCACGACGGATTCATTGCACATCTCATCCATTTAATTGTGTGAATAGCAGATCCGTGAATCCGCCGCGGAAGATCCGTTCGCGTATATAGGCGCCTCTTCATGTCGTAATGACAAAGTCGGCCGGCTGTTTGCACATCCCCATTTGTAATATAACTGACAAAAACATTAAAACGAGCTGAATATTTCATCCACTCTTAAAGATTGAACCACATTTAGAGGTATGTTCCAATGCAACAGTTCATTTACAACAAAATCAACAGTTCACTTACAACAAAATCATCATCAATTTGCTATACTCATACTTCCAAGATCTTGATATTAATAAGGGGCCTTTATATATATTGTTGCCGCCTGCCGGCGAATTTTCAAATTTGTAATTCTTAATCCAAGAATAAATAGTTTGTAAATAAAGCGATTGAGTTTGTTAGAACCATATAATGATTTTAGAAATAAGAATACACTTTTAAGAATAAAATATACTTTGCATAAATCTATTTATTATTGCCAGTAAATATTTATAATTGAAGAGAATATTTTATATTTAAATGAAAGTAAATAATTCATTCAAGAATAAAAATATACGTGAATCAGGAATTCATTTTTTCTGTGCACAAATTATCAAATATGTAAAAATCTCATTTCCTAATTATTCCTAATTTTTTGTTCCTTTATGTGCGAGTTTTTCTCTTATTTTCTAGATATACTTATTATAATTTATTATGATATCTCGCTGCATTAATCCAAAATTATAATTAAAGATTTCAATCCAACATTGCTTCCAGCTTTTCGATTACTATGTGTAAAAACTATGTGTTTTGCTCAAGTATCTAATTATTTAAATAAAAGAAGTATCTAAAATATGTAGACCTGAAAATAATTTTGTTGTCATCAAAATAATTAGGACATCCAAGCTAGTCACTAAAATATCGAAGTTTTTTGGAGCATTGTTCGTTATAATAATTTTGATGGTCATAAATTTTTAAATATTTTAGAAAAATATCATTTGTTCTGCATTTAAAATTTCCTGAACTCTTTACAAATCAAAATTTGATAGAGCAAGGAAATTTAGACTTCCCTTTACATTAATTTAAGTAAATGATAAAAAAATGAAAGTCCGTTTTTTTTTTACTCAACGGCACAAAGGATAAGTGCCGCATACTTCTGTAACTAACATTGACGCCCGATGAGATTTCTCATTAGTGAGGCTAATTGATATTTGCCGGCTTGTCTGACCAGAGGCATGCGGCCTGCGTTTACCTGTCGCCAACGCCGCTCGTCCACGGTTACCCGCGTATTGTAATCCTCTCTGATGGAGAGCCTCCTGCAGAAGCATTCCTGCGGGGGTTCAATTAGAGGGTTCGGCTTGTTACACGTGGGAGGCGAAAACCCAAACCCAAGGCGCCGGCGGTCCGTCGAGAATTAGTACATCGCCCGATGTAATTACACGACACTGCCAGCTGGTCACAATGAAACTGAGAATATCTTGAGAATAGAGGCGTTGGTATTCGCACCGCAAATAAAATATTTTCCTGCAATGACTTTCGAAATTGCGAAGATGGAATAAAAGATAGAAATATCTACAACAAAGTTTCCCTGCCCGAACTTTCCTTTTTTTCGCAAACTTCTTTCTTCTGATCCGCGCGTGAATCGAAGTTTGAAGTATAATAACGATGGTTCAGAGGAGTAAAAATCGAGCGAGTAAAAAAATTATTTTGATACTTTTGCCTTATATTCTTATTTCTTTTTATTACAAAATTAAAACTAAACTGCAGTTCATTGCTTGATAGTGAAACATCGATAAATATTGTCATTAAACATTAAAAAAAAATTGGTTCTGTATTAAATTTTAATAAATCGTAGAGACAAATCAGACATTTTTCTCTTATTTTAAATTACTTTCTTAACTCTTCCGTAATTATTTTCATATAATTTTCTCACAGATTTCGAGTAATTGAAAAAGTGATTCCTTTATACCATTTTGGCATTTTAATAAGCCGAGCAAAAGAAATGCGGGCATTACTGAAACTCTGGATGATCATTGATCCGGTAGTAAAAGTTGTCATATTCGATTAATAGCGACGTAGAAGGTAGGAGAGCAATCTCGAAAGTTCGACGTGCGCCGAGCTTTCGAGCTTAATCTACGGCCGAGTCAAATATTGGACTTTCGCGTGCACCGGGAACAGCGAAGTTTATTGAATTTCGTATTGTTTACACCGTGAGTCCGCGGGCGTCGTTTAATTGACGTTTGTCACGTCGCGGAAAATTGACGCTCGCATGAGCTACTTCATCGCGCTCGATCGTACGAGCTACACCGCGCGTTTTGGGACTCGCAACGAGAAAACTTGATTTATTGCGAATTTACTAAAGCAAACGGGTCGACATCGTAGCGTATTTAAATGATAAAAGCGCAAAAATATCAAAATAATCAGATACTTTGTAATTCTAACTTTCACATTTTCCATTATTGCAGTAATTTCTCTGAAAATGCCGAGGTAATTGCGATTATACACGGCGACGCGTCGGACAATATATGGTTCTGATGGTAATCATGTCTCATTAACGTAAATTAGTTATATTGATCAATTATCGACAATAGCATGCGTACACCTGTCAAAAGCAATTTTTTGTATCATCAAAAATTCTCGCATTGACAGACGTTAGATTTATATATTCGGAAAACAAATCTCATATCTGAATCAAGTTGATTATGCATGGAAAGAACAATTTTGCTGAAATATCTACACTGAAAAAAACATTCCAAGTTTTAATAAATCGTTTTGTTTGAATAGTGCAAACTGAATATTTATTAAATATAAAGATATATAGTGAACGCAAAAAGTATTCATACAAAGAAAATATTTTTCTAAAAAAATCTTATTTTTAAAAAGTAAACATTATTTACTGTGAAAAACGACTCATTGAATCGATATCGATACAATGATTTAGACATCAATTCGACGTCGATTGGACATCTAATTGACGGCTATTTCTTGCCGAATGATTAACAATTTGTTCATAAAGAATAAAATAGACTGTACATTTCTCAAAATTATACATACCAAAAAAATGTGTATTAATTATAAAAAATATATCATTTTAAAAATAAGCGAAAATTAAAAATTGTAATATTATTTGAACGCTTAAAAAAATGTTCGTATAATCGAGGAATTTAGCTTTTAAAATCAAAAATATACGCAAAGCTCATTTGTTAGAGCAGAATACATTTATTACTAATTAATGTATAATTTATTTTCTACAAAGTATTTGCTGGTAAAAGAATCATTAATTTAATTAATAAAATAATCTTTTTTATTGAGTAAATATTTATTTAATACAAGTAAATGTTTAGTTGGCACTATTAAAATGAATATTTATTAAAATTTAATACAATTCTTTTCCTAAAAGTTGCCCTAGACGCGTATCATATTTGAAAAAAATTTAGTTGGACTGTAAAATAATTCTGAGACAAAATGGTTGCTAGATCATCAAAATCTTTTGCTCAGCACGCTTTAGTTTTCTACATAATTATTTCGATGGTACAACAAAATTATTTTCTGATTCAATTTTTAGATATTTCAGCAAAATCATCCTTTCTGTATGGATAACTTTAATTAATTAGTGCATTTCTATATTTATTAATGTAAGAAATTATTAAACAGGATGGTAAAATAAATAATAAATATCGCTTAAAATAGACAGATTTTTCCACCTGCGGTTTGGAAAATCTGGTTTTAAATCAAGTTACTTTCGCTGAATAAATAATCCAAATGTATACTTAATGAACTCGTTACCATTACGATAACATTGAACGCTGGTGCTGTATCGGGACAATCGGCAAGGATTAGAAGGAACATCCCGCGAAACGTGAGAGAAAACGCGCTGTCGCGGGGAAACGCTCCCCTCGAAAAGTAGCCTCGTCACCGGAAAACGAGGGCGAGAGACGGAGATGAAGACGGAGATGAGGGATGAGAGAATAAATGCGACGCTCTACATAGAGGAGGGCAATCCCGGAAATGCCTTTGCAAATCAGAGCAACTCGCTCGGTGAGCGCATCAGTTCAAAAGAACCGTCTTTCCCTCCCATCTATCCCCATCCTGCGCTTCCTTCCACTTCCTTCTATCTCTTTTTTCTCATCTACCTCCTCCGCGTTTGTTTGGTCCTCCTCCACGCTTCCTCTTCCTGAGACCGTACAATCCCATCGTCGGCGTCGAGTCGCGTCTGGCAGGAAAAAGAAAGATGGGGAAAAAGTAGAGGGACGGGAGGGAAACATGGTAACGCGGGAAAATCCTTTGAGAAACATCTTCGGTCCTTGCACAGCACGATACTACTTGCAAAGCAGGGTGTGTAAGATATACGTGTAAAAAGGAGAGTGAAAGAGGAAGAGGGGTGTATTCGACACAGTCAAGAGCAGTCAAGAGATTCCGAAAGTACTCGTTATAAAAATGCACATGGCTGCAGACAAAGCAGCGGAGTGAGTGCGTGAGAGATTGATTTTCAAATTTGATTTAATTACGAATCTCTCATGTGCTTTTTTTTTCTTCTTGCGATGAATATATGTACGTATAGTTCACTCTGTCTCTCGTGAACAGATAAGCTCGTTCGGAAGAAGAAATGGTCTTTTGTAAAGGATCCATCGTAATCTTGCCGCAGGATCTTCTATTTGAACGCACATACCGCTATACAAAAGGAGATTTAAGAGTCCTTAAGAATAGCCAATAGGAAGAAGAGGAAACAAATTTGTAGGAATGATATAAATCCATATAAGGCAAAAACTTATTCAGAATAGATTACTGTACAGTTGATGTAACGATCTGTATCGTTTACGAGTTTACAAAATATAAAATAAATGAAAACGCGACATTTAAAAATGACCGCATATCAAAACCTATAAAATTATTAGCGTTTAAAACAAGATTTTATTTCACGTCCAATATTTGTAAAAGGATTTAAATGTCATTTATAATGGTGACGCACAAAATATTCTCTACATTTTATGCGAATATGTATTTTACAAAAGTATAATTTATCTGAAAACTTTTACTTTTATTCTCACATTATAAATCTGACATAATAAATCTTTAATTAATTATAAATTATATTTGAAATATTCGTTCAAAATACTGCGTACATTTAAATCCTGTTCTACTTGAAGCAGAAACCTACTTAATTCGATAATTTGATATTTGTGTTAAAAAAGATCTGTTTTAAATTAAAAGATATTCACGTTAAACGTATCAAAAAGATGAATAGCAGCCAACTGCATTAAACGACGAATACTTATTTTGTTTACTGCGCTGTAATCAATAAAACGCGTTAAAAGTGCCTTATCGTCCACAACCACGGCAGATACGACCACCATACCCATTCGTCAACGACGCTATCATCGTCGACTGGTTACGGTACAGAAAATCCAGTAACGAAGTCGTTTCTTCGTGGATTACGCGGATACGCCTCGGTACCTTTTGTATAGCAAAAGGAAAGAAGGGAATTACAACCGCGAGAAGATGGAACGACGAGTAAAAGAGACTCCCCGTCGTATGGCCATGGGTTTACTTATTTCTTACAGTCGATGAATCTTCTTCCCTTTCACGTCTCGGTTTGCGAATTACGTTTTCATCAGGTTCAAGTGGCCGTTTATCGATTGCCGATGAACGAAAGAGAGGAGCGCGCGCGCGCGCGCGCGCGCGAGGGTCCCACTTGTGTGATCGGTACTACTGAAAATAATATTCTTTGAGAATTATTCCGTAACGTCGAGCACCGTAACGACGACGCGAACGGCGGTATTAAATTAAATGGAGGGTGCCCACCGCGACAAAGCGAATAGACATTGTTTGAAGCGGGATTATAAGCGACGCGCGCCATTAAATTATTAATGAGGATTTTCGCGTAAGGCAGAATACGTGTGTTTCGTAAAGCGGGATTCAGTCCGTAAATCCCGTGAAAATTACAATAGCACACGCGCTCCGAAAGATCCACGCGTGTTTCCTGGTCTATCTTAGCCACTTTACGCAGCAAAAAGAGTTTTCGCGTTGTTAGTGAAGCACGTACGGTCCTTTTGAGCACGTACGCTTGCAGTCGCACGAAAATCGCGATGTAATTATATAAAAAATGCTAAAAAAAAATAACGTCCACAAATTCCGAGAATATTGGAGCTTGATAAACCAACTGTGTTTTTGAACTTTGTATATATTTTATTTTTTTGTATATATGGGCGACACTACGAATAATTGCCTGAACATTAGGGAGAGAGAGATATAGAGAGATATAAAAGAGAGGAGATCGTGATAGATATACATAAAATTATAATAATTTAATTTATCAATATAGAGCACTTA